TCTAAATAGCACATGGGTCAAAGAAGTTTCAAGAAAAATTAAGACATATTTGGAACTAAATAAAAATGCAAATACAACCTATCCAAACATGTGGGATACTACAAAAGCAGTGCTTAGAGGGAAATTTATAGCATTATATACATATATTAGAAAAGAAGAAAGATCTAAAATAAATAATGTAAGCTGCCATCTTAGGAAACCAGAAAAAGAAGTGATATATCTGGGATCAGGCACAAGAGTGGTCAGAGGGCCCACGTAAGCTGCATAAGGAGGACGTCCCCCATATCATCCGCGAAGTTGCACCAGGGCTCCTCCCTTAGTTTATACCTATGACCACATGGAGGTACTTAGTCCCTTATGACCAGCTGCTGAAGGAGTAAAAAGGCTCAACTTGGTTCAAGGATAGGTCAACTTGGCATAATGAACTATAGATGCTGACCCAAGAAATATCAGTGAAAGGGGAAATCCTCTCAGCAGGGCAGAATTTCTGGTAGTGTATTGGGTCATCCACTTTGTGTGGAAAGAGGAGTGGCCTGGGATTACGTTATATGTGGACTCAGACAGTGGTGACCATGGAAAAGGAAACATTAGGGGAAAAAAGGGTCTGGAGAAAAGGCACATAGATGGATTTATGGCAATAGGTAGGAAGTGTAAGGATCTTTGTAACTCATATTAACACCTATCTGGGAGTGCCTATCACAGAAGTGACACCAAACAACCAAGAAGACAGAATGACTTGGCCAGTTGACACCACTCTACCTCTGTCATTGGCCACCCCAGTGCTGGCACCACAGGCACATGAATAAAGTGGACCTTGTGACACAGATGGAGACTATGCATGAACCCAAAAGCAAAGGCTCCCAGTCATCAAGGATGATATAGCTATTGCTGCTGCCAAAGGCAGAACAGCATTGACCCTCAAGATGAACTGGCCTCTTGGTGTCAAGTAGTCCAATTGGATCACTTCTCTCCTGGAAAGACAAGTGACTCATTTTCATTGGCCTTGGCACATATTTTGGTCATGGGTTTGATTTTTCTGCTTGCAGACCTTCATTTAGCACCATCTCTGAGTATTTATTCTACTGACATAGGATCCCACATAATATTACATTGGGCTGAGGGACCCACTTTACGGGAGAGGAGGTGCAGCAGTGGGCATATGGCCACTGAATCTGTGGGTCCTGTAATATACAGAAGCTTTCAGCATGATGGAGCAAAGGAAAAACCTGTTGAAGATGCCTCTGAGGGGCCAGCTTGCATATGATAACCAGTGAGGATGTGGTGCCATCCTCCAGGATGCAGCATATGCTCTAAACCAATTACAATTATATGGTATGGTTTCTCTTAGTCAGAACACATGAGTCCTACAAACCAAGGGTGGAAGTAGTTCTTACCTCAATTCTCAGTCATCTGCCCTTTAATTTTTGCATCTCACCCCCACAACTTTAAACTATGTACATTTAGAGATCTTGGCTTCCAGAAGGGCAGTGCTGTCAACAATGGGCACGGCAAGAGAGCCACTGAATTTCAAACTATGTGTGTCACCCAATCACAGTGGGTTCCTTAAACTGAGAGAACAACAGTCAAGGAAAAGAATCATCATCCATAAATAACTGATTCTGGTCATCAGGAGGAAGTAGAGCTGCAAGAAGATTATGGAAAAGTATGTTTGACACCAGGTAATATACCTGAGTGTCTCTTGGTGCTCTTTCACTCAATTTTAAAGTAAATGGGTAAGTACGGCAGCCAAAGACTGACAAGGACAGGTGATTTTGGGGGTGGTGGTGGTGGTGGGGTGCTCAGACTTCTCGAGGACCTGGGTCATCCCACCAGCTAAGTTACCTACATCAACAGAAGTGATGAGGGTATGGGAAATTGAGATTGTAAAGTGGAGAGAGATGAATACTATTTGTGGCCTTGAAACCAGCTGCTGTGGCAGGGACTGTAGTTTGTCCCTCTAATCTTCCTTTTATAAAATTCTCTCATGAATAGAGATCCATCAGAAGCCTGAATTAGCTTCTCCCAGAACTTATAAGATCTAAGAGGTAGAAGGCTGGACCTTAGTGGGAGCTGTAGGGCTCTTCCCAGATCTCCCCTCTGGCCCTGCACTTCAGAACTGAAGTCCTCTTCCCCCCAGGTGCTGGGAGTGTTGAGAGCTAACAGTTTGCAACTGAATTCCCCCTCCCAGTGATTACCCTTGGCTGAGGAGGGCCACCTTGCTCCAAGTCATACCCCTTTCCTGGGAACAGCTCACATCCAGTGATTGTCAATCAGTGAAAAATTTTAAAGGCCCAACTTCTTTGTCCCAATTTGGGATATCTCTGTAGGGTCATTCTTGCTCCAGAGCTGAGCTGAGGCCTTTGTCATGACTGCATCACAGCCCAACTCCTCCCTCTGCTCAGTCCTAGTTTCTTCCCTCCTTCACCCATGTGATCTGCACACAAAACCTGACTCAAGAGTCCACTTCCCGTGGAAACCAACCTGCAATAATCTAAAGAGTTGGGCCTATCCCTCCCTATATCTTCTTAGAATATAACTAAGATGTCTTTCAGAAAAAAAATTCCCTTTGCTGTCCTCTGCTCATTTGGGGCATTTGCTTTCTTGATATTAAATACAACCTTGATGCATTTATATTTTTATCCTTGACCTTATACTCTGCTTTTCATCTATTACATTTATCATTAGAAAGCAAAGGATTATCAATGAGTTCCCTACAGTTGCGTGTGTTTCTTTGGTATGCTTCCTGCTCCTTTGTTAGGACCATTTGTAACAGGCCAGTGAAAACTGCTTTTTTAGTTCGTTTCAAACTTTATAGCTGTGTTTCCTCATCTGCAAATAGGCATCTATAAATTTTCTTGGAGTCTTTTGTGTTCTACTTTTGTAGGCTACATGTCTGACCCAGCCAGACATGTGTGATTAGCTTCTCTTAGAATTCAAATGTCTAGGCCTGCTCTAGTTGTCTCCACTCCCTGCTTTGCCTTCTGTCCCCCAGAGTATGAGCCAACTGAGAAGCAAAACTAATAGCACATTGAGAGGTTCTTCCTTAGCTGTGCGTGGGATTCAGAAATATTCTGGAGCCCTCTTCCTTTGTGTGGGATGGGTTGCACCCTCAGGGCAACTCTTTTAAGTACTGGACAGTCACCTCCATGATTGACTCCACAGTGTCTGAGTAGCCTGACTGCTGGGCTTCAAGCTGGGCTCCTAGTTTGCACTTCTATCCTCTGATAGTCCAGCAGCCAGTCCAGCTCAGTTGGCTGAGGCTCTGACTCTTTCTCCTAGTTTCTGCCAACTTGCTTTATTTTTGGTATTTCTACCTTGATCCATATGTCGATCATGGGTCAAGACTGGTCAACAGGATGCCAGAAACTGCTTCCCAGAATAACACACTCCTCTTGCTCTCAGATCAGGCCCTTCACACTGATGCTGGCCCAAGTTGTACCTGAATTCTCTATGACTGCACCTGAGTCCACACTAAGACCTTGAACCTGAACTGTTAGCATTTACAGCCTGGATGGGTTCCCTGCCTGGTCCCAGCCACCTCAGCAAAATCCTCTCTCATACATACACCCATCACTGAATACCCACATATACCCATCACTTCAGCTAGTACTTCTGCTTTGACAAATTAGTCCCCATTAATGAGAATTAAGCCCAGAGTAGTAGTTCCCCTGATTAGATCCACCATTCTCTGAAGGGTAAAATTGCTGGCAAAGAATTTCAGCATTTATCTTAATGGGACTTTGTATGAAGATTTTAGTTTAGGTTTAGTTGTGACCAAAATATCTTACCTGTTTAATAGCTTTGTTGCACATTATCAAAAATTAGTTTAGGTTTCATCTCCACAGATAGATTATAATATCTTCTCATAATTATATTATTTAAATTTTTCCTAACTTCAGATTTGTAGATATTCAAAAGGGTATGTATCTTTTTTTGAAGCAAAAAAAAAAAAGAGGCTTAATTATTAACAGAAAACAAGTAATATTAACACATACACAAGCCACAGTGAAATAGCTTCCTGGGATTATAAAATAGAGAACAGTTTATATGCCAGACACTCTGGCATCAACTATATATCAGAAGGGGAAAAATATCAAGTATCAAGAATCAAGATGTTCTAAGAATTAGCAGGTAGATAGTGGCTTGTAATAAAGCAGTAATTAGTATAATAACTTGATCTTTCCAAGGACAGGTAAACCACTTAAAATGTATTATATATTTTTTTGGAATTTCCTAAACTAAGATCTTACATTTATAAATACTCAAGTTATAAGTTAGCTTACTATCTTAAACAAATTATACTTATCTTGGGCCAATATTATTTCATTTTTATTCTGTAGCCCAAGTATACATTCAGGCCCTGGAAAATCCTTAGTAGATGGTTTCCACACAAATGAAGAATCATTTGCATGTGATGAAGTCAGGGAACAGTCAAATTGCACAAGTTAGCACCACCCACAGGCAAGCCTCTACTTTGAACAGTATCTTTCCTGAGTTCAAGTAGGTGGCTTCACTGCTTTCCTTCAAATAGTAGTCAGTTAGGTGAGAAGCAATAGGTAGGGTACCTGCTGGCTGATTATAACTCATCATACTAGAACAATGATATGAATTTAAGGAATAATATATGAAGCAAGATAATTTAAGACCACCAAAGAAGTGACAAGGGAACTGCACTGCTATTTGTCCCAAGAAGTCATCCTGCATTTCAGTTTAATGGATGTCTACCAATGAAAGGCAAATGATGGACCAACTACAGCTTTTTATGGCCCCCCCCTTTTTTATTCAACCTAAAGTACTCCGGGTCTGCTCTTGAGAATTAAAGACCAAAACTCACGTTAAAAGCATCTTTAAAATTCTATATTTGAGCCAGAGATTTGGAAATAAAGGGATCTAGACAAATTGGGGGGTTAAGCTGTTCTCTAACTCAAGGTTTCAAAAGCAGAAGCTGGGTACCCAGGAAGTCACTCAACTTCTCAACACATGCTTGCAGAAGAAACTGACTAATAGAGGTTGGTCTTTTTCATGATGCGAAGAAATTCTTCCTGGTTTACTTCGCCATCTCCATCCCGATCGGCTTCGTCAATCATTTCCTGCAGCTCCTCATCAGTGAGGTTTTCCCCCAACTCATTTGCCACACGCTTTAGGTTTTTGAAAGAGATCTTCCCAGTTTCATCATCATCAAAAAGCCTGAAAGCCTTCAGAATCTCTTCTTTGGTGTCTTTTTCCGCCATCTTCTGAGTCATCACGGCCAAGAAGTCATTGAAGCTGATTTTCCCCGTACCTTCCTTGTCTACCTCGGAGATCATCTTCTTCATCTCTTCCTTCCTGGGTTCAAAGCCCAGCGCTCTCATGGCCACCTTCAGCTCCTTCACGTCGATGGTCCCACTTCCATCGGCATCGAAGAGGTCAAAAGCTTCGCGAACTTCTTGCTTCTGCTCTTCGGTGAGTTCAGGCTTAGGACCCACCTTTCTTTTCTGGCTAGTAGAGGCCACGTTTGGCTTCTTAAAGCTGGAAGCCATCTTGCTGTGGCGGTTATTACCTTTAACGGTGCCACAGCAGTCACCGCGCTCGCTCCAGCGTTCCCTCTCCCTTCCCCACCTCCACAGCGCGAGACTCGGCTCAGGGCCTCCCCTCATTCATTCCCAAGCCCTTCCGCTGCTCTATCCTAGTGAGGCCCAGCTCACCAATCCCAGCATGTCTGCGAGATCTTATTTCGTTATAATCCATAGCTCCCTCAGTGATTACCCAGTTTCCATGAGCTGAGGCCTGCCCGCAGCCACAGTTGTCTTCTATAATGCACTGGCACTTGCTAGTCTTTCCAGGCCATTTGTCAGAATCTATGGGACCAGGTTTATAGGGTTATTTAGAGGTTCTTTCTCTCTCCTTTTCCATACTAAATTAGAAAAAAAACCCAAACCTCTTAGTCTGAGGTTACCTAGGGTAAATTTAGGATAATCAAGATTGAGTTTGATCCTTTGGCATTAAATGTGGGGAAGGAGGAGGGGAGCATATTAAAAGTCACACCATGTGTTCAAATTGACATAAATGGAAAACAGATAAAATGGAAAAAGTTATGTATAAAATTTGTAGAAGTTTGTCTCCTGATATTACACTCAACAATAATAAAACTTCACTAGCTTACTTGGCACACACTGAAATATGAAATGTAATATCCAAATGTATGATTTACTTTCAATGTTTCCATTTTACATACTCAGTATAATTGCACTTGAATAACAGTCATAATTTCATTCACTAGGCTTTTGATTTGGGGTGGGGGGAGGTTGAAATACTGCATTCTGGTATTCTGGCATTGAAAAAAAAAATAACAAAAACTCTAGCAGCATATTACTCTCACAGTTTATCATCCAATCAGGGCTGTGCTGAAATCCACACTCTGGTTGCCCTGTTTTGGCAGTTGGCACAGCAGATGATGCAGAGCATGTTGGGATGCAAAATTGCCTCCTGAGAACAGAGGAGCGAGAGGAAATGGAAGGTGAAAAGAAAACAAAAAGACATCAAGTAAGCCCATAAAGGAATTACCTTTAGAATTGCTCTGTATTTCTTTAACTTTTTTAACAGTTAAAAAAAAAGAAAGCTGACATTTTTTAGCATTCTTTCAAAACAAAATCTCAATTTATCACTACTCAATCTGTCACAAGAAAGGGCATTTTCAAGAGGTTTTTTTCAAGAGTTTTTGAATCTCTAGAATCTAGAACAATGCTTGATACATAGTAAGTAGATTAGTAAATATTTACTGAATAAATGAATGACAATATTGGTCTTAAAATACTTCTGAATCATCAAAATAAAACAAACGAAACCCCCAAAAGATTAAATTATGCTAGGAGTGTTTCACAAATTTTGTTTTTTTAAAATTAGTGATCAGATATTGCTTACATGACATGTTTAATTAGCCAGATCTAACTACCTGCCCCAGTCCATATGTGACATAATGGACAGAGGGCCTGATCACAGAGTTTCCAAAGGTCAAGGAAACTTACTTCTAAAGTTGTCAAGCACTTGTCACAGAGAGTGTCAATGCAAAGTAGACTGGCAAGTAGGCACTGCTGCTGCCAATCTTCCAACACTGCAAATCCTCCTGTTTTCTTAACCAGGTCGAAAAACCTGGGATCTTACCCCAAGTCCATGCTTTATTATGTCTGTGACCTTGAGAAAGCCACTTAGCCTCCCAGACTCAGTTGAAGCATCTGCAAAGTAGACATAATAATACAGCTTCTTAAGAGGGCCCCTGTTCAATGAGCTACTCCTGGGACAGTTCGCTAATGGGGCTGTACATATCTGGGTAATTGTTTGTTGAATGTGAATTTCACCCAGACATTGTGCATTTCTTTTGACACTCATTTCTCTGCCCAAATTCAAGCCAAGCTATGATGTGTTGGGAAAACTAAAGTATAGAAGCTGCCTTATATAGAACTACATTTGGGCCAAGCTGCACTCAAAGCACAACGGTTGTCATAGTTTCCAGATGTGTGCAATCAACAGTCACAACTAAGGGCCACCAGGAGTTCCTTTCATAGAAAACAGTACCCTCAGCCAGAGTCAGTCCTTGGTAGGGAGTTACTTTATGTTCATAATCTGTAATCTGATTTAAAAAGGGAAGGAAAACTTACACTGATTATGTGCCTAGGATTGAGCTTGTTTCGTTACATTTGCTGTCTTTTTAAATCCTTGCTATCATTTCCCATTTTGCAGATGAAAAAATGGCCCAGGAGAGGACTGTAACATAGCCAGCGGTACACAGCCAATAAATGGTGGCTCTGGGATTTAAACCCTGGCCTGTCTGTGTCCAATGCTGAGGCTATGTTTACACTGTGCTGCCTTCTCCAAAAGTTGATACTATCACCAAAAAGTAGCATCTTTGGGAAGATATGATATTGATTTTCTTCCCTAAACCTAATAATAATTAACTATCTTGCCTAGAAAGAGTTAACAAGATTTTATAGGATCTCAGGCAGGGTCCCATTCTGGGGCAAGTCACTGAGAGAAAGAGTAATCTGCTTGGTATTTACATTCATTCTTCTTTAATTCTGCTTTACTCCATCCTATCCTTTCAGCTTTGGGTACAAGTTAGTAGGAAGGCGTCTGGCCAAAGTGCTTTTAATTGGCATTAATGAGAGTCTATATAGTGCTTGTGAAAATCAATTTCTTTGCTTTAATGTCACTTGCAAGTTCTATTAAGACTGACATAAAGTAAATGAAATGTCCAGGAAAATCAGTGGATATGAGCAGTTTTGTTTTTACACTTAAAATTCTTTGTACCAGAATGTCCTAGGTAATATACTAAATCAGTTGTTGATTATCTGAGAGGAGGAGAGGAGATGGTTGTTTAAATCTGGTCATGGAAGCTTCACAGCTGGAGTGGGGGTGGGAGAGGTGCTGGAATTCCACAACAGGATCTGGGGTCAGTTGAGACCAAGAGAAAGAACCCAGCAGCTTGCTTATTCTAGTTATTTGGTTTTCCATTTGACTTGCATGGCATGAAAAGGTGAGGCTCAGGAGCCTTTTAAAATTTAAGTTGCACTCAGCAAATTCAGTAAATTCCAGGTACCACCCAAGGGCAGAAAACATGCATAATAAAGTTTCTTTATTGCTGCCTATTTACTTTCCAACACATGCAGAATAGAGAAAATACAAATGCTTGACACTTCTAAATAAGCAGAACAACTGTGCTGGAGCGGTGACCCCCAAACCAACAATAACAGAACTAAACTATTTATTTTTGAATATGTGGAACCATTTACAAGAAACAGACTGAACAGCAAGAGTTTTACAATCCTGGTGGTCTTTGAGACTATGAGGTCCAGGGCAGTGACTCAGCGCAGGCCTTTTTGGCAAGCCCAGAAACAGACCTAAGTGTCCAGCCAAGGGCTACATAATTTCCCATTCCATGAATCCCAGAAATAAAGAAATACTCCTCTCAGATACAAAAGCAGACTGTGTTTTAGAAAAGAATTTACCAGAATTTGACACTACTTCTCAAACTTTCACCCAAATACTCCTAATAGTGAAGGAGAATTTAAACCACTCCCTTGGGACCCAGAGAAACATTTGGAAAAAGCCTACACCAAGTATAAAATGTCTTTATATAACAGGCTGGTTGAGTGGCTCAGTTGGTTAAGAGTTTGCTCAAGAGTGCAAGCTCTGAGCAACAGGGTCGCAGGTTCCATTCACGTCCTGAGCTGAGCTGCCGCTGAGCTGCCAACAGGTGGCAGGATGGCTCAGCTGGAAAAAAAAAATGTCTTTATAATCCTGTTTAAAATCCTTTTTTTTTTTAAAGATTTTATTGGGGAATTGGGGGAGGGGAACAGCGCTGGGAATTTGGGGGAAGGGGAACAGACAAGTTTCTGTCCTTTTGTTCTTCAGTCTAGTTGTGGAGGACATCGCTTCCCTGGCCCATGTTGGTATTTTCACTGCACTCTTCCCGGATGAGGCAGTCGCCTGCCGGCCATTGGATGGCCACTCTCGGAGGCTCATGGCAGCTCACGAAGGTGCATGCCAGCTGCAGGCCAGCCCCACTGCAGCCTACACTGTTGCAGGTGACTCACTGCAGCCCAGCTCCAGGTCAAGCTGTTGTTCACCATCTTAGCTGTAGAGGGCACAGCATCACTGGCTCTAATAGTGGGATCCGAACTGGGGCCCTGCTGCTCAGAGCTGGTGTCCCAAGCCAACTGTTAACCAATGCGCCACTCGGCCAGCCCTTATCTTTTTTAAAAGAATGAATTGTTCTGTTCCATAGCACATTTGCTGGTTCTATTATGGTTTTAAACGACTGAGTATTGAGCAAATTTGGTTCCCTCCAAAAAAAATGTTGTGACTTTAAGTGTGCCCTGAGAACATGACCAGGGACTAGGAGAATCTTACTGCTTTAGCAAACTGTCAGATGTGGGTTCCAATGTGGAGCTTGAAGTGAAAAAAATAAAGATCGATGATGTTTTCCCACCGCCCCAACCAAGATCCTCTCCACTTATACATCATTTAGGTCTCAGAGCCAAAGAAGAGGTAGAAAGGAAGGGTGAGAAGGAGCAGAAGGAAGATGAATGAATCTCCAGAGCATTTTGAACTCGAGGGGTAGAGTGAAATGAAATGCTTTCAACAAAAGAACGACTACCTACTCTTCCCAGAGCCCAAAGTCAGCCCAAATTAAGTATTGCTTTGATGGAAATAGGCTGAGTAAAGACATAATCTATGTTGATATAAACTCAAAGCAGAATCTCACAGGAGTTTTGATCCAGCAGTTCCCTACCATGTAAGAAATCTGCGGAGTGCCCACCAAGTGCAGACATGTAACAGAAAATGCAGCACCAAGAAGCCTGAGAGTGGCTTACTTGGATGTTGAAAACATCTGTGACCAAGCTATTGGTTTACTCTTTGATCCACCTTCTTTCATTCTCCAAGAGCCCTGAGACTTCAGCATCTAAACCTGACTCCTCTATTAAATGAGAAAAATTTTCCGCTCGCTAGAAGTGGGACGGTCAAAAGCCCAGAGGGGTGTTGGTAACACA